AAACCGACAATTATGTAAGTTTTTTTGTTTATGAGAAAATGGCCAAAAATGTTTTTTTCTTAAATTCTTGTTTTTTCAATATCTTTTAAAGTTTTTAACCGATCAAACTAATACTTTGGAACAATGTTTAGAACAACTAGAACAACATGGAACAATCTTGAAAAGTTCGATTTTTGAAAAATGGGGTGCCAGGTCAAAAAATTGTATTTTTTAATTTTCCGCGAAAATTTTTATAATATAAATTTGATGTTTTGGAACAATTTAGAACAAGTCTAGAACAACCTGGAACAACCTTTAGAATTTTAAAATTTCAAAAATGGGGTGCTAACTTCACGCAGGTTGAATCATGTATGTCACGTGAATAAATCTGTAAAAGAGCGTGATCGTAATATTGCGGTTTTTTTGTAGCAACTTTTTTTTACAAATATCTGTATATTCGATGAAATCGAATATTTATACAGGTTGTCGTAGCATGCGAGTCGGCCGATTTCTTTTTTTATATCATACGCTTTTATATGAAACGTGTCACGCATTGTACGACTAATTAATGCTATAATCCAAATATGTGTGTTGCAAATATAATTAGTAACTCTTTCAGCAATTTACAATGATATTATTAATATCGTCAGTAAATATATATATATACTAAATTAAAATTGAAAAAGATTGGGGATAGTATCTATTTGTACAACTTTACACATATACAAATTTACTGACGATATTAATAATATCATTGTAAATCGCTGAAAGAGTAACTAATTATATTTTATTATATTACTAATTATATATATATATAATTTGTTCTATTATATTCTATCTGAGAAATTAGATTTTTGATATTTCTTCGGCCTAAATTCGGATTCGCTTAGAGAATTCGATCGGGCTCACTCGAATCGAGAGAAGCTGCACAATTTGGTAATATTTAACAAAATATTGTGGACGATAGATACAGTAATGAGACATCGCGCTTGATCGTTAAGAACTCGTGTTACGTGTTGGAAACGCTTGTCGCATAGATACGGCCGCAAAAGACAAGATAGCGGTCTGATAGGCGGAAGTACAGACCGGCGAGGCAAGGCCCCCTTCAATGCCTTTCGCAGATGTATGTACGGTCGGCTTTGTCGTAATGAAAACCAATTGCGAGTCTCACGGACTATGTGTCATCGCGAGCCGTTGAATGAATGCCGTCGACGTCTACGAATTAGCCGGGATCGATCCCAGAACTCCTCAAGACCGCCGACGAGGAGTTCAGTCCTTGCCGAGTTTCAAACTGGAACTCGCGCGTTACGAGCCCTTCCACATGTTTTTATTTTTTATTTTAAAGATCGATAGATGAGTATAAATCAAGCTATTTCGCTCATGCATTCGTTATTGTAAATTGATCTGAAATAGTTTGGTATTTTCTATTTCATCGAAATAGCCCCACTAAAAGGATATCGACCTGATTGTCATGGATATAATAAATCGTACAAAGAGCGTACGGATTGGAACTTGTCATTGCTTCGGAACTGCAACAATTTTGCGCGCTTGATGTGTCAGGATTTTCTTGACCGTGGATCCAAGGATTTCGTCGCGATCGAAAGATTGCGGCAATGAGATATCGAGGACGATTCAGATGATCGATGCAAAACGTGGATTTAATTAGACCGGAAAACTTCGAAAGTAATGGAAAATGAAAGTCGATTTTTAGGTTCGAAAGTCGACTTGATTGCTCGGGGCTATTGACTCGATTAAATTCTACCGAAATCGCGTATAATTTACTTCTCGAAACGAAAATAATCCCACATTATGTTATATAGAAGCACAAAATTGTTAATGTAATGCAAATTAATTTTTTCTTAGCACTTATAGCGTACAATATATAAGAATAATAAATCTCGAGAATATTAATTATCCAATTGTTCAATCAACATAATCGAACGTCGCGATTTTTTCTCCAATGCACTTTTATTCGTCCGTATGAATCATGTATGTCACGTGAATAAATCTGTAAAAGAGCGTGATCGTAATATTGCGGTTTTTTTGTAGCAACTTTTTTTTACAAATATCTGTATATTCGATGAAATCGAATATTTATACAGGTTGTCGTAGCATGCGAGTCGGCCGATTTCTTTTTTTATATCATACGCTTTTATATGAAACGTGTCACGCATTGTACGACTAATTAATGCTATAATCCAAATATGTGTGTTGCAAATATAATTAGTAACTCTTTCAGCAATTTACAATGATATTATTAATATCGTCAGTAAATTTGTATATGTGTAAAGTTGTACAAATAGATACTATCCCCAATCTTTTTCAATTTTAATTTAGTATATATATATATATTTACTGACGATATTAATAATATCATTGTAAATCGCTGAAAGAGTAACTGATTAAAAAAAAAAAAAAAAGAATAACAATCGCGTGCTTTCCTCAGCAATTTGAACAGTCGAAGGTCGAGTGATTGATCTATAAGCTTAAGATAAAAATTTTCTTTCCGGATGCGTTCGAAGGTCGCGAAAGATTAGGATCTATCGTCGAGGACGGCGATTCCAAAAAGAATCTTCAAGAAATGACCGACACCGACGTCGAAAGTTAATAATTGCGATTAATTTAAGTTCGGTTTCGTTCGCGGAAGGAGACTAATCGAAAACTCCATTCTCCTCGTTGAAGATATCCGATGCGGAGCGGCGCTTCCGCAGGAAGAGAGCCCAATTAAGTCAATTTGGCTTTTATTTTCCATTACGCCGTCTCATTGTCCTATTATTAACCGGCCTTAACGCGAGGCGGTAATCATTAAGCGCGCAGCGTCGCGGGAAATCATCACGGGCGCGATTAGATAAGTATGAGGACGATTTATCAGTGTGCGCATCACACGGCCGCGATTCTACAACTTTCCACAGCTATGCGCGTTCGCTTCCGGATGGATCGTACAATCTCGAAGACGTTGATTATGAATCTATCATCGAATGCAGGATTATAGATTCTAGACTGCGCGCATCAGCTGCCTAAACATTACATAATAAAAACATATATATATATATATATATGAAATCCGATCGATATTTCCAGTGAAATGTCAAAGCTAAAAGTATTCGATGCAATATAAAGCAAAGTGCATCTTGTCTAATTCTCCCTATATATTATTAATAATAATTATAACGAGTAACTGTACTATTCTCTATGAATTGTATTATACTTGAATAGCGACGAAGCTATCCGAAGTCTCGAGAGCCGGCCAGGTTACGACGATGGACTTTTATGAGCCGCTGGAACACCGCGCTAATAAGAATTTATGCGGCTCTCTCGTGTCTCGCGGACTCGCTCGACAAATCATCGCGCGAAGAGAGGAGAGCCGATAGCATCGCGTTCGCGTCGTTTGCTTCTCCAGTTCTTGTTCCTTTTTTCCTTGCCATGACGAAGAGACTTTACGCGGCCACGAGAGCTTCATTAACCCTGCCGCCGCTGTTGTATCCGCTTATGTAGTTATACGCGGTGATTCGAAACTTTTCCTTCTCGTTGACGTAAATCAACGAGATGTATACGCATATGGCAAGTGCAATTAGAATTTAACTTTGTATCGATAGTTTAAATTAATAATATTCTTCTTTTAATTTTCTTATTATATCATATATTATTGCTATATTTTTTTGTTCACGTGTTAATAATTAGACACTTGATACATGTTTTTTGCTCATGCTAATGATAAGTTAAGATATCAATCATAACGAGTCATCATTCGTTGCAAATTCATTTTTCCGATGAATAAGACTTAAATAAAATCCATCGCGATTTAATCGAAGAAACGTGTTCTTCCACATCCATTTATATCCCGACGCTTAATTCTCGATTATTTCCAGTAAAGAGTCTTTGCATATAATTATTCTTTTCTGGAGATATTAAACGAAAAACACCGATCTCAAATTTTTCGAAGGCTTTAACTCTGAGTCTCTGATTTTTTTTTTTTTTTTTAATCTGGCACATATACAAGATGTTTCGAGATTAAACGATCAAATGATCGAAACTTTGTCAGTATGTTTTATGAGTAGAAATAAGAAAAAAAATTTTATATAAACATAGATCCAAAAATGTTTTATTGTCACGTTATATTGAAAAAAAGAAGTTTACTTAATTTTC